TTTCTTTCTTTCTTTCTTTCTTTCTTTCTTTCTTTCTTTCTTTCTTTCTTTCTTTCTTTCTTTCTTTCTTTCTTTCTTTCTCTTTCTCTCTTTCTTCTTTTATTTTGATAACTTCTTGAGAAAAAGGATATTGAAGAAGTGTGTATCTTCAACTTTAATTGCCTGATCCAATAAAGAACTTATCAATGAAAGAGTTCTTCAAAAATTTCCATCAGCTTCCAGTTGATGTTGAAAAGTTAAATGTTATTTTTAGCATCCTGTATTTTGTTTTTTGTCATTGGTAGATTTTAGACTTCTCTTTGTTACAAGTGATTTGAAACATGGTGATGTGTGTTTTTTCCTCAGTTCATTATGCTGAATACTCTGTGTTGAATACAAATTGCTAGGACATTAATCTCGGGAATCAATCATGAGTGTTTTTCATCTGTTTCTGTATCTTAAGTCTCTTCATATTTCTTGTATTTCCTAAACTTTATTGAACTTAGTTTTAATTCTCATTCTGCGTTTAATGAGTTTCTCATTCTACATTTTTTTTTAAAGTTATTTTGTGGATTTAATGTCTTATTCATTTTGGATGTTAATTATTTCTCTAAAGTTCTTTCCTGCTCTTTACTCTGACCTCTGCTGTGCTAATTTTGTGCTTTTATCAGTGTTTTTCATGTTGGTCACTTTTAATATGTCTCTTGTTTGACTGTCTCATTGCTGACATTCAATCAGACAAAAAAAATGATGGCTTAAGGAGGAGTGTGTGTGTGTGTGTGTGTGTTTGTGTTTGTGAGTAATCTCATTAGCTCTGGCTTCTTTGGTGAACATCACTTTGATGAGCATTATGTAAGCTAATCCTGTGCACAGGTAGCACTTTCATTGTGGAACCTAAACTACTGATGTTGATGATAATTTTCTCTGGGGGAATTCCTCTTCTCTACTAAAGGATAACTGGACCAGATAAAGGAGCAGGCAGGGCATTCCATTTTACTGTCTAATAATTACAGATCTTCAGATTTACGTTCTTCAGGGATAAAACTTGGGAGCTTCCATTTTCTATGGTGGATCAATTGCCTGATTGCCTGTTGAAGTAGAGTTTTGGGAATTTAATTGCTTATTATACTGTTTTCAAACTTTGCCTCACTCCATTCCATCTTCTGTGGAACCTAGTGTGTTAATTCCTAAATGCTCTGTGTTCTACTGAGCAACATAGTGTATTCTGTCTTTTTAGAAATAGTTGTGCTTATTCTACTATTTGGCTTGATATTTACCTTCCTGCTCTTATTTCTGCCTTTTCATAGTCATATACTAATATATTGTGGTTGGGGATTACAGATATCTGGATTATTAAGGATAAAAATTATTTCACTCTTGTACCCCAATACCATCTTCATCACTACAGAAACGGTGCTAAAAATCAAAAGGAGCTGGGGTTTGTAACAGATAACATGTCTCTGGGGGGGGGGGTACAATTTTCCTTACCTCTACTTAAACTCATGTACCTTAGATTACAAATCCCAGTATGCTTTGAATTGGGCTTCAGTGGGGGCCACGGGAAGGAGCAAGGTGAATATATAAAAGGTGATAGGACTTGAGGAGTCAACACAGAGAGACATGTATCAATTTGAAGGAGACACATGTGTGAGAGACAAAAGGGGTGGCTAGTCCAGGTCCTTGGCAGAGGCAATGCCATCCATTATATTGATGTGGAGTACTTTGCATTTTTCCCCCTATCTCAGCTCTATGGATTCTGCATAACCCCTTTCTTGTAGTTCCCTGACAGAAAGTACCTTAGACTTGTGGGAAGCTTTTGACCCTCAGTAGCCCCACTTGGGCTGACCCTGATTGATTGGGTTTCTGCCCATGAAGTACTATGGTTTTACAGGGACAATATTACTTGAAAGCCTTTCTTCTTTATCTCTATGCACATCAATTATTTTATCTTCATACTAAAAAAATTAAATTGTTTTCTCCTGTTCTTTTCCTTTAGTTGTGCTTTTAAGAGAGAAGTTGTTTAGATCTTTATTAGTTGGAAAGTGCAAATTGTTGTAAGCCTTCTTTGTTTAAATAAGCTTTATAAAAGAAGAATATGATCATGCCTCTTTTAAAAATTTAGTTGTACTATTAAACATTCCTAGGATATGGTAGGTATCACTAAATATAATCATGTGGTGTTTTTAGTTTCTGTATTCATAAAGACATACCTGCAGATTGTTGGGTTTGATTAAAGGGGTTGATGCTCTAAACTTATCTTTAGAGATCGCTTTTTCTGATAAGCATTTCATTTTGTTTTAGTGTTTTTCTTCTGTGTTCCCAATTCTAATGTTTTTTTTTTTCTTGAGACTTCAAATTCTTTGATGCTATATTTTTAGTGTCCTTCACACCATTCATGCTCTCACTTCCTCCACTTTCCTTCTTAGATTATAACTATCCTCCTTAATACCCTCAAGGTTCTTGCCTCTCTTTCTCTCTCCATCATGTCTCCTAGGAAAATCTGATATTACCATCTACACCAGAGCTGAAAGCAACTAGATAAAGAAAATATAAAATCATAACAGCTGAACTGTATGTTTTTCTTTCAAATGGACTTTAATGTTCCCTCACAATCCTATTACTATATTCTATTCCATATATAGTACTGTTTTTCTTATGAGATTACTTCATACCTTCTCCTCAAACCTGTAACATCTATTTTCTGTTCTTCACATTTAAATGATTTTTTCCCCTTGAAATAGTTTCTTTGGTAAAGAAGGAGTAATCACTTCAAAGCCTATGTCACAGAATCCACAATAAATTCCTATAGAATTACTATTTGTAAATGATTCTGTTAGCAATATCAGGAAAACTTAGTTTTCTCTCGGTGTAGGAATCCATCTTTTTTTTCCAGTAAATTCTATAAGACATCACAATTCCCATGTCATATCTATGTTACTAAATTTAGATCAGCCAATTAACTATTTATTTGCATACATATTGTTATGTGAAACTTAGATCAACAAATAAATTATTTGCTTACATGTTGTATATGAAATGGTATTTTCAGTGAGGTTTAAATTTTACAGTTTCATTACCATTTTAGTAAATGTAGTTATATCTGATACTTTTCTGAAAATACATTGATCTTTTTATATTCTTTCTTTGCTATGGTGTATTATTTTATTGTTTATATATCTAGGGTGGGAGGTGGGTCATTACAGAAGGACAGTTGGTTTTTGGAATCTAGATTCAAAAGGAGATAAATAACTGAAAGTATAAGCCATTCAGTTCAAGAAAATATGAGCCTCGTTTTCTGTTGGTGAATTCCAGCCAGAGTTGATGTTAATTTTGATACTTTTCAAAATCTTGATCTTCTGGTCATTTTGTTTTAGAGAGCTAAAAGTTTAAACTGAATTAAGCTCCATTGGGTATGATTTTGTATGTCAGGACAAGCTCTTTTATCCCATGTTATTTATCCCTGACTTGAGTAGTTTGAATGTTCCAGAAACCTCCTATTGTTGATCTGTTCTCTTCTTTTTAAACCAGTTAATTTTAAAAGTACTTTTAATCTTTATAGTATAGTAATATATTGTACTGACAATATGTAAAACTCTGTAAAATCACTAGTCTGTATTTTGAAACACAAGAATATTTCACAACTTATTGTGTTGAAACATCATCTCAGGAAAGAGGAAATATTTAATACATTTCTGAGTGGTCACTAACTTGTAGGTTTCACGTTTTATTTTTTTTTTTTTTTTGTCTTATATCTTCTTTTAAATACTGCAGTAGTCATTTTTTCAAGGAGCTAGCCAGAATGTAGTAGTCTTAGAGTAATAAATTGTGTATTAGATGGATGGACAGATGGGTGGGTGGATGAGTAGATAGACCGGCAGCACTGTTTTGACATATGTAATTAAAGGGAAATAGTGAAGTATTAAAAGAAATGCATGCTTATATTTAGTTGTCAATATATAAGAGCAGTTTATACACTGAGAAGTTCATTTTTTATAACAGAACATTTTTATTTGCAGATGAATGACCTAAAAGGAAAAAAAAAGTGGAAATTGTTTTACCTGCACAAACTCTCTTATGCCTTTACCTGTATTTCCTACACTCTCACCATTTCGATAATGAAAGTAAATATGAATAGACAAAAGTTTAAGGTTTGTGTCATACCTGTTTCTCAGAGGACTTGAAACAAATTTGGAAAATTAAGATTTACATATACAAGCAAACATTTAAAAATACGTGGACACTATTGAGTGGCAAAATTAGATCAATCAGAAGTTCATAGAATAATTTCCGTGAACTTAAAGAATTTGTAGGATAAGTCTATTTTTCATGCATTAGAGATGATGCTATTCACTGAAGTGAGGAACACAGGAAGAGGATCATGTCTGAGGTTAAAGATTACAAATTACTTGTAAACATAACTTGATACATCTAAGTAAAGGTGTTATGGAAGCAATTATACATGCAGAACTGGTTTTCAGAAAGAGATTTAGTAACTTGAATATGCAGTATGCCCTCACTAAGGTGTGTGTATTTAAATATAGAGAGAAATTTTACTGCACTACTTAAAGTCTTCCTATTGATATTTCAGATGAGGTTATTTTTAAATGGTGAATGTTAGTGAGCCAACTACATAGGGATAATGAATCAGAGAAATTTATGTTGGATCTGAAGACAATTTTATTTCTATAAAATAATTTTTCTTTTTTAATTTAACTTATGCCTGGAATGTAAAACATAGAAATTAACAGTTTCCGTTCTTCATTGTATCCATTATAATGTAATCTTATGGATGAAAACTGATTCATAGGTAAATGCTGTAACCTTTTTTTATTTCATAGCCATGAAGCTCATGACTGCTTTGGTGAATGTTGCCTTAAACCTCAGTATTCATCAGGATAATACACAGCGGCAGTATGAAGCTGAGAGAAATAAAATGATTGGGAAGAGAGCCAATGAAAGGTTAGAGTTACTACTTCAGAAACGCAAAGAGGTGAGTTCATGGTAAACTGAGATACCTATTTTCTGTAAATATGTAGTAGATAGATACACCATACTATTTTTTTTAAAACAAAAAGCGTTTGTATTTAATTTTTTAAAACAACATCATTTGATCTCAGAAACTTCAGATGAAACCATTCAGCAACTGTTTGAGTATTGTCTAAGCTTAAGAGAATCAGAACAATCCTGCCTTTGAAAGAAGGTATTCTAGATGTTGGATAACTGAGATTAGCAGACTGTGGGCTTAGGCACAATAATTTCAGATAATAATTTCAGAACTGGGAACAATAAAACTGCCTGTGCGGGAGAAGACAAAGACTATATAGTAGCTGATGTACATGGGTGAGGCATTCCTATTAATAACATTAGTTTTAGTATATGTGTTGGAAGTGCTTTTAAACTAAGTTTTTAGTAGATAACATTTTAATTAATTTAGTAAAAATACAGATCTATAGGCCTATATAGACCTTTAGGTCTATTTTAACTTTAAAAGAAGGTAATAACATATTTCAACAAATAAATTGCTTAATTGAATAGTCGATTGTGATAGCCAATAAGAAGCAGTAACATTATAATTAGATTATTTTCTATCTTACACGGGTAATAATTTTGTGCTAGGGCTGCTGTAACAAAATAAACTGAGTGACTAAAGAACAGGATATTTAGGATCAAATTTTATTGATTTACTATTTGTTGACAAAAACATAAAATTTGGGATATACAGCTTCACATTCTCAACATATGTCTCTCATATAGATGCTTTTCTCATAAGTACCAAAGTTCTGGTGCCATCACACTGTAATATTGACCCTTATACCTGTGCCCCAACCACTTTCCCTCTATATTGAATTGCGTATCCACTCTACTCTTACATACATACAAGTTGGTATGACCACATCTTGATTAATTATATCTACTACCACTCTATAAACAAATAAAAAAAATTAAACTTAACTATAAAATTTATTTTATTTAAAAATATTTTACATTTTTCCATTACATTTCAAGTTACTATATTTGGCTTATTAGTTAGCTCTCTTTCAAGCTTGAGTTTGTGTTCTCATCTATTACTGTATTTTCCTTGAACCTTTATTTACACAGTTGATGAACTTGCCTTCTGTCTTTTTTCTAAGTGTTTGATAAAATGTTGAACAGAATAAGTAAAGATTGTATTATCTGGTGGGAAATAATTTATAAACAAGTAAATTTTGCTATCGTGTTTTGACAAAAAGTGTTTACTGAAGGAGTTAGGACTTCTGTGTATGGATTTTTTTTTTTAAAGATTTATTTATTCAGGGCCCTCCCTGGTGGCGCAATGGGTTAGGATGCAGCACTGCAAAAGAGCCACTTCAGTGTGAGTTCGATCCCTACCCCGGAGGTGATCCACATGGCGCAGCAGACCTCTCTTGTTTTACCTGCTGCTCCCCTCAGCAGTGTACTTAGTTGACTGCCTGTTCTGCTTCCTACTCTGTATGCATAAATAAATAACAGAAAATTAAAAATTAATTACTTTGTAAGAGGCACTGTGTGATTAACACTACTTGCTTGCAAAGTTCCAAATTTTATCTCTACAATATATTTTTTAAAGATTTATTTATTTATGCATACAGAATTAGGGTACAGGCCAAAGGTGCAGGGGTGGTGAGCAGATTCACCAGAGACACAGTGGGGAGCAGAACAGGCTGACTGACGAAGGACACTGCTGAGGGGAATAGCGGGTAGGTTAGGAGACCCACTGCCCCTACACCTCTTGACTGTACCTCAGTTCTGAATGTATAAATAAATAAATCTTTTTTAAAAACGACTTATTCATGTGTACAAGAGGTGGGGTGTAGTACACTGCTGAGGGGAGTAGTGGGCCAGACAAGAAAGGTCTGCTGCACCAAGTTTATCAGCTCCTCATACAGGATTAAACTCCCGTGGCAGTGGTTGCTGATAGCTTGATGATAGCACTGACTTTAACCCCTGTGCCCCAGCAAGGCCCAGCGTATGAATTTTTGAGGAAAACAATTCAACTCATGACACATTCCACTCTTAAAATATTGTAGATAGGGCCCTCCCTGGTGGTGCATTGTGTTAGAGCACAGCACTAAGAAGCTAAAGCCACTTCTGCATGAGTTCGATCCCCACCCCAGAGGTGATCCACGTGGCGTGGCAGACCTCTCCTGACCCACCCGCTACTCCCCTCAGCAGTGTCCTTCGTCAGTCAGCCTGTTCTGCTCCCCACTGTGTCTCTGGTGAATCTGCTCACCACCCTTGCACCTTTGGCCTGTACCCCAATTCTGTATGCATAAATAAATAAATCTTTAAAAAATATATTGTAGAGATAAAATTTGGAACTTTGCAAGCGAGTAAGTAGTGTTAATCACACAGTGCCTCTTACAAAGTAATTAATTTATTTTTAATTTTCTGTTATTTATTTATGCATATAAGAGCTGGAGTGTAGACCAGAGGTACAGGGTCTGGGGAGTGAGGATTCACTAGTGACAGAATTGGCAGCAGAATAGGTAGTTTAACTGAAATACACTGCTGAGGGAAACAGTAGGCAGGAGAGGAGAGTTCTGCTGCCCATGTGGGTTAGCTTCTTTTCCAGGGATAGAACTTGTGTTGGAGTTGCTGGGGATACCTTCACAGTGTTGAGACTTAACCCCTTACTCCCCTTACACCAGGGAGTAATTAATTTTTTAAAAAGATTTATTTATTTATGCATACAAAACTTAGGTACAGACCAGAAGTACTGGGGTAGTTAGAGGGTTCACCATAGGCAGAACAGAGAGCAGAACTGGCAGATCAATGAAGTATACTGCTAAGGTGAGCAGCAGGAGGTCAGGAGAGGTGTGCTGTGCCATGTGGGTGACCTCCCTGGTGCTGTTGTGCCACCAGAGAGGCCCTAAAGTAATTAATTTTTTATGTAATAAGTGTAGCAACAGTAATATGTAAAATTTTTGAATGATCTGCTATAGAATTATTGCCAAATTCACCTTAGCTAAACCTGAAACAAAGCATATAATAAGGAATTTTGTTACATTCATATGTTGCACTAAAAGCAAAACATTTCACTCAATATTACAAGAAAAATTAGAATTAAAATAATCACTTTTTAATGTGACTTTATGTATGTGATTTTGTTCCCTTCTGAGCAGTGAATGAAGTCATCCATGAATTTTAACTCTGACTGGTAGTTTTGCCTAAAATTTATATTTTTGCTGTAGTATTTAATTTAGTGCTGCATTTCACTAATGGCGATGACCCTTACTATCCTATTCTAATCCTACTATTTTGGAAATTTGGTTTACTCTATTATAGGCTAATCAGATATAGAATAATGTCTGGATACTTTAGATGGAGTAGGATGTTTCTTGTATAACGATAATCAAGGATGATCTGTTTCCAAAAACAAGACAAAAACAAGCTGTGGACATGGTTTGTAAGAGGGATAGAAAGTGAGGTATATCTCAGAAACAGACATTTTGTATATAGGAATATGCTCACATAAAGCCACAACATTCCTCTTGTTTGATCATTGATTAGTATGGGATATGGGATGGATATTCTGTAATCCATGTAATAAACTATGCATTACTATAAAAGTAATGCAACAATACTTGTAATTTCACACATCTGTTAGAAAGTGAGAAAATGGAAAAAAGTGAGAAAATTCTCCTAGAATGAGAATAACCAGGAATTTATACCAATTTGACATAAAGCAGCCTTGATAAAGGAGGAGGTTGGAGGTATCACGGCTTCACTTTCATCCATTGTATGGAGATTTCCTCACACAACCAACCAATTCTTGGACATCAAGTTGTCCAAGACATTAGCTCAATTTTGATACCATCTGTCCCTGCCAGGTACCAAGGTTAAGTCAGTCTCCCAAGACCACTCTACTTTAGACCTGTCATGAGCCATGGTAATTTCTTATGCTCTAACCAGCTTTGCATAGGCAACACCACACTGATAATGAAATGGTAGCCCTGGAACAGGCTACTTAATGCAGGATGTTCCTGGCCTTTTAATTGATAAAATAACCTTATAGTATCCATTGTAGGAGGAAGTAAGAAATAGGAAAATTGGAAGGGTGGAACTGTCATCTATAATATTAGGGATTGTGAGTCTGCCCTCTAGATTTATCTGCTTGATGACTCAGTATTACAATTGAGATCCAGCCATAGTTCTCCAGTAAGGATTTCAGTCTTAATCAACAAGGTGTTTCACTGATCAGCTTCTGGGATCATACATTGGTCCTCAGTCCTCCAGGCATTCCCAGGCATACCATGCATACCAGGGTGATCAAGCTTTCTACTCTTGGTTGATTTGAAAGACACCTTGTAAGGTTTGGCTCATAGATAAAAGAAAACACATTGGTTTTTGGTTGGTTTTTTTTTGGCAGATGGGGTAGAAAGAGGGGAACAGGGACAGGACAGAAACCAAAATAAGTCAGTAAGTCACAGGGATTTAATGGACAGCATAGTAACTAGTTTAAAATGCTGTATTGCATATCTGAAAGTTCTTGAGATTGTAGGTCTTTAAAGTTCTCATCACAGGAAAAAAATTTTCTATGTATGGTAATGGATTTTAACTACGTTTGTCTTTTTTCTTTTTAGCTACAAGAAAATCAAGATGAAATTGAAAATATGATGAACTCTATTTTTAAGGGTATATTTGTTCATAGATACCGGTAAGGGATTTTAAAATCATGCACAGATTTTTAACTTAAATAATGTGTTGCTTTTTTTGTAGTCGTAGTTGTTATAAAGATATAAAAGATTTTTCTGGAAAACAGTTTTGTTTATAAAAGCTAAGTAAAGGTGGAGGAAACTTAACCATTCCCACCTCAAAACATACTCTATTAGAGGAATTCTGGGTACTTGGATTTGTAATGATGGAATATTAATGGTAACATTAAGTAAATGTAATCTTAATAAAATGTGCTTGTCATATATTTGGAAAAGATTAAGTACTCTATATTTTACACTGTTCATCTTGTTCTGTGGTCAAATTTAACAAAACACCTTATAAAAATAACTCTTTGAGGACATGAGAAAAGTAAACTGCAGTGGGCAGTCCACTCTGCAGACACTATAAGATCTCTGTTATCAGTTATAGAAGTATAAGCAAAATATTTTTGTCATGCTTCTTACCTATTGAGTTTAGTTTGTCTTTTTTTTTTTTTTTAAAGATTTATTTATTCATACAGAATTGGGGTACAGGCCAGAGATGCGGAGGGTGATAGGATTCACCAGAGCCAGAGCGGGGAGCAGAGCAGGCAGATCAACGAAGTACACTGCTGAGGGGAGCAGCGGGCGGGTCAGGAGAGGAGGAGAGGTCTGCCACGCCATGTGGATCTCCTCCTGGGGCAGGCGGGGATCGAACGCATGCGGAAGTGGCTTTAGTTTCTTAGTGCAGTGCTTTAACCCGCTGCGCCACCAGGGAGGGCCCTAGTTTGTCTTTTTATAAAACCTGTGAAGTTTTAAAGTACTAACTAGATTATTAAAGACAATATTCCCAGAGAATTGCTCAATCACATACATAATATTTGTTACTTTCTGTTTACTAAGCATTGTATGGTATGTTTAGAATAGTTTATATATATGTATATATATATGTTTAATATTTTAATGCAATATTGTGTTTTAATTCAAACTATAAAAATTTCTTTTGAAATAAGGTTAGGGTCAAGGCCTTTACTTTGAATATGAGGTTTCTAATTGAAATTTAACATCATCTGTCTTGCATAAACAACAGATAAAATGAATCATAAATTTGACTTGATAAAAACAAAACCTCTATATATCTGCTACTTAGTCTTTATTAATTGCAGATTTATAGACGTATAAAATGAACAGTACATGTAAGTGCATAATTTGGTTAGTTTTGAAATCTGTATGGTTATAGAAATATCACAATCAAGATAATTATATCCATGATCCTCGAAAGTTTTCACATGCCTCTTGTTATGTCTCTCTACTTTCAGCTACTAACATCTCCTAATAGTTATTAAGCTGCCAACTGATTGTTTACTACAATTTTAGAGAATTGAATCATGTAGTACATACCCCTGATTTTTATTATTATTACTTTAGTCTGGCTTGTTTGCTAAGCAATATTAGGATCATTTATCAAGACTGTTTACCATAAATTTCTCAACACATGCCCTTTGTTAGGTTGATAAAGTATCCCTTTATAGTCCTTATTTTCAAAGGTTTTTTTAAATTAGATTTTGAATTTTTTTGAAAACTGTTCTACATCTTTTGAGGTTAAGCATTTTTCTTTTAAAATGCTGTGGTGGTGAATTAAGTAGGTTGATTTTAAAATGTTAATTTGAAATTCTTGGAATGAACTCACAAAGTCATGATTATTTTATTCTTTATATGTTGTTGAATGTAATTTGCCAAAATTTTCTTTAGATATTTTTTCATTTTTTCCAAGTGTATGTGTTACTTTTTATCTTATTGACTGACTGACTGCTTTTGGTACCAAAGTATTACTGATAGGATGACTTGCAGTATATCTGCCTTCTTTAACTTGCTGAAAGACTTTAATGGAATTTATATGGATCTTCCGATAGTAATCATACCATTAGGGCCTTGAGTTTTCTTTGTAAGGATGTTTTTGGTTATATATTAAATTTCTTAAGAAGTTTGTAAGAAAGGATACATTCATCTAAGTTGTTGATTCAACAAGAGTTAGCAACAACTATAAAGTTATTCATAATATTGGCTTTTTAACATGTCTTCTCCTCTGTCTTGAATATATTGATTTTCTTAAAAATAAGCTTTTGGTTACTACTTGTTTTTTCTTTCAATAATTTCTGCTCTTGGTCATTTCCTTTCTTCTGCATTCTGTATATATGTATAAATAAATATTAAAAATATATACCTATTCGCACAGGGGTGATTTGGTGATGGGAAACCCTTGGGGATTACAATTGAGATGAAAAAAAAATGTGCAAAATGATGTAAAAATAAACTTTTTAATAAAAAAATATATATATACCTATTTATTAAAAAAAGCTTTGAGCTTCATTTGTAATTTTTAATATGTAATGAAACGTGTCTAAAGGATTTAACCCATTATTGAATTTCAACATTATATGAAATATTCAGTGTTTCTGACATTATTCTTTGAATATATGGGTACCCTAAAAGTGCAAATTTTCTTCTTCTTTTTCTTAAGATTTATTTATGCATACAGAACTGGGGTACAGGCCAGAGACACAGGTGTGGTGAGAGGTTTCACCAGAGACAGAGTGGGGATCAGAACAGGCGGCTGAGGGGAGTAGTGGGGGGGTCAGGAGAGGTCTGCCACGCCATGTGGATTACCTCCGGGGTGGAGATCGAACTCATGCTGAAGTGGCTTTAGCTTCGTAGTGCTGTGCTTGAACCTACTGTATCACCAGGGAGGGCCCTCTTATGCTTTTTTTTTTTTTAAGATTTATTTATTTATGCATACAGAACTGGGGTACAGGCCAGAGGTACAAGGGTGGTGAGAGGATTCACCAGAGACAGTGTGAGGAGCAGAACGGGCAGGTCAATAAAGTAAACTGCTGAAGGGAGCTGAGGGCTGGTCAGGAAAAATCTGCCATGCCACGTGGGTCACCTTCCCTGGCTGGGAATCGAACTCATGCTGAAGTGGCTTTAGCTTCTTAGCTCTGTGCTTCAATCTGCTGTGCCACCAGGGAGAGCCCATGCATATTTTCTTCTTTTTTTAAGAAATCAAAGTTTAAATGAGACATGCCCCCCCCCAATTTTTTTTTTTTTTTGCAAAGATCTAAAACTGGTTAGTGCATGGTCTTAAAATTATATAATATTAAAGAATATTTGATAATCTTGTAATTTTATCCTTAAATATTTTTAAATACAGGATGGTACTATGAAGCCAGAAACTCACTATCAGTTGGAGTTGACAATATCATAGATGAGAATTTTTTGGAGATAGCTTTAGGATAATTTTAGAGCTTCTAACAACATGAAGAAGTTTGCCTGAAATATCAAGAACTATGTAATTATAAGTAACTAGACCAGTTAGGTTTAAAATCTCGTACTTACTGTTTTCTAAAAAATGTCCTAATGCGTACTAAAGATTATAGACTCCAACTATGGGCCTTACAGTGACTGATGATTATATTACTGATACTTAAATTAAAAGATTTGAAATCTCTATTTCATACATGACTCATTGCACCCAGGATTTTCTACTTTTCCCATCTTTTTTCTCAGAGGAATAATGTAGGTGAGTTTGAGACTATTCACAGATCAGTAAAGCAACCATCCACTATTGATATCCTGAAAAAGAGTGTATAAGCTGGAATCAGATTTATGCTGGTTTGTCCTGGTTCTCCCATGTCTTTTGTGGCTCTTTGTTGGACAAGATGCTCTGCTTAGATTTGTTATTCTGTGATTACACATGGTATAGAAGGAAATCCCAGTCCAGACATTTATGTGTTTTGGTACTTGGATTCCTACCAGCAAGATGATGTTTAGATGTGATTGATATTTATTGACTCATCCCATTGTGCTACTGTACTCTGTCTTTCATGTTGGACTCCCCTTTTAGGACAAAAGTATTCTGATAAGTCATGACACCCAAATTTGATTTGGTGGCACTGCACACACACCCTGATCCATTTTAAGCATTTGCTAACTTCTGGTGAAATACCAGTATTTGTTGGTACTGTCTCCAAACGGACAATTCTGCATCACCTTCAAAGATTGTTTCATTGTTACTTCAATAGTCCTTCAACTTCTGGGTGATATGGTATGTGGGGAGAGTAGTGGATGGCATGTCCATGTGCCCATAGTAGTCTTTGCTATAAGGTTTATTCAGTGTGATATTTTTGTAAGATCCTGTTGTGATGGATAAATTACTTTGGAAACACTGTTCATTTCCTGCCTAAGGACTTGCAAGCAGAAAAGTTAATCTCCCACTCAAAATTAACTGAATATGTGTTAGTTCCAATATGAGAACTCCCTTCAGAGTGAAAGAGGTACAATATACCTAACTTTCCATTATATTACTAATTAGTTTCCTCACAGGATGGAATCAAGCTAGCTGTCTAGATGATTGGATATTCAGCAGCAATAAAGTAGCCCATGCAAAACCTCCATCCTACCCTTAACTACTGCATATACTTGACATTTTTTCCAACACTGAAGGTGAGCAGTGACAAAGGATGACTTGGGTCAAGCCAACCTCTCTGATTTGTTCTATATTTTGCAGTGAATGTTAACTGTAAATAACATTACATATATCCTTGTATCCTCTGCTTTGGATCAGCTACATAGTCTCTTTCCCGCATGCTCTTTCTCAACAGTGTTATATTCTCCTCCACACTCTTGACCAAGCAGTTTTTGACAGTTTCCTAGTTTATATATAGTCTTAGGGTCACATCTTTTTAACATAAAATAGATGATCATGTAGTTGACTTGTAGTTGTAACAATTGAACACATTTGTCTTTGCTACAATTTCTAAAAACAAGGTGAATTTCCCTTCACTTCTCTATCAAGGGCACTCTTGAGCAATATTGCAGTGTAAAAGTGGTGAACTGTAAGATTTCACTGGTACACTCATTTATGTATCAAACTTGACTTGTTTCCTTTCCCATTAGCTGGTCATAAACAACCAACATGGGACAATAAATGTGACATGAGGGAGAAGCAATGGTATAAGAGTAATAG